ATAAGCTCCCCAACTGTGGCTGCCTTTCCTCTCTCTGATTGCCTGCATTGCTTGCTGGCAATCTACATTAGCATTTTCAAAAGCTAATTGCAAGAAAAAGGTATCAGCAGCCTCAGCATGACTAATTTGTCTCTTAATTGCCTGGGTTAAATGATCGATAAACTCAACAAATGGCTCCTGAGACCCTTCTCAAATATTTACAAAAGATCCCTGCTGAAATTCCATTTTCAGGAATCTGGTTCCAAGTCCTGAGAGTGCACAAAGACACTTGAGCATAGGCCTGGGGATCAAAATCTTGTTGTTGTACATTGGCATGGGGACCCCTCCCCTGGAGCATATCAGCTGTTATGTCTTGCCCAGCTGTCTGATTCTGGTTGGCTTGTTTGCACAACTCATCATATTCTGCCTTCCGGAGGAGGTATTGGCTAGGCTCCAAAGTTGTTTCAGCTAAAATTGACCAGTTCCATGGGGTCATATGGAAGTGATCTGCCAAGGCCTCAATCATTCCTTTCATAAATGAGCTAGCAGCTCTGTTTTCTTTAATGCTTTTTCTTAGCTCCTTGTAAGTGTTAAAAGAAATGGGTTCATGTACCTGATTGCCTTGTCAGTCTTGCATTACTGGGCAGGATAAGAGCTCCCCTTCTAATGCCACTTGCTTAAGACAGGGTCCCATAGCTGGAGCATGTCTGTTGTCCTTTTTCTTATTTCTTGGAGGAGGCGGCTCAGGCAAGACCTTTGTTTTCTCTTTGTTATTTTGGTCCAGTGATACTGGGGCTGAGGGACTCAGGGATGGTAAAGTAGGCGACAGTTCTTTTTCCTTCCCCTTTTTAAAGGCTCTTTTGTGTATAACAGGGCCAGAGCCATCCTAACTAGAGCCCATAACATTAGAGATGTTACTGGGACCTGCTGCCTTTGCACAAATTCCATTTGACCTAGCAATCCCATTACTGGGTATATATCCAAAGGATTATAAATCAATCTACTATAAGGACACATGCACATGAATGTTCATTGCAGCACAGTTTACAATAGCAAAGACCTGGAGCCAACCCAAATGCCCATCGATGATAGACTGGACAGGGAAAATGTGGCACATACACACCGTGGAATATTATGCAGCCATCAAAAACAGTGAGTTCATGTCCTTTGTAGGGACATGGATGAACCTGGAAACCATCATTCTCAGCAAACTGACACAAGAACAGAAAATCAAACACCACATGTTCTCATAGGTGGGTGTTGAACAATATGGACACAGGGAGGGGAGCATCACACACTGGGGTCTGTTGAGGGGAAGTAGGGGAGGGACAGCAGTGGGTGGGGAGTTGGGGAGAGATAGCATGGGGAGAAATGCCAGATATAGGTGATGGGGAGGAAGGCAGGAAATCACATTGCCATGTGTGTACATATACAACAATCTTCCATGTTCTTCACACGTACCCCAAAACCTAAAATGCAATAATAAATAAATAAATAAATAAATAAATAAATAAAAAGATTTCTCCCTGCTTGTTCCCAGATCTCTAAATCTAATGTGACTTCTGCTGGGAAGCATGGATTATGGAAGACAACAGTTTGCTTTAGTTCCCTTAATTGAGCCTGTGAAACTGAGGTTCCACTAGGTTTAAGCAGCTGTTTCAGTACTTTTATATACTGCTTCTGTTGAGCTGATAACTGTTGTCTCATGATGAAACTCTAGCCTGAACAATCCCCCCTCCCCTCGAACTTGGTAATCCCAAGTGGGTACCAGTGACTTACTGACTCATTGATTGTGCAGTCTCTTCTCACCTCCATTTCACGGGTTCTGTCGTGATCCTCAATCCATTACAGCTCTCCTCACAAGTGGGTACCAGCTGTCAGGGTCTGACCTGCAGACCCTGACTCAGCAACAGATGAACAAATTCACTCAAACACAAATCTCCAGTGAAGGAGTAGGCTGGGGGTCTGTGGCCACTCACAGACACTTCTGAGAGAGATAGCAGCCATGGCCCTGACCAGCTGGTGCTCTAGGCATTTATTTAGAATAAGTTCAATAACAGAGGCTCTGAGTCAGCACATCTATGATTAAAGGCCAGGTTCCAAGGCCTAAAGCAAATACCATTTTTGGGTGATGTATCTGGTCACCCTCCCCCAGAGAGAGCCATCCAGCCCATGAAAGATTAAAGTTTAGTTTTAGGACCACATAAGTAAATAAGTTATTCAGATAAACTCCCTCACATTCCCTAGTTATTTGCTTTCCTTTATCAACTAAAGGTAAAGGGGATTAGGCTACCTTCCGCTGAAACTTCTATTGAAACTGTGCAAACCTCTTGGCCTTCCAAGAGGGTTCGTGACTATATTCTATAATTTTACAATCTTTTCAACCATCCTGACTGATCTCCCATGTGGGTGTGGTGGCACGTGCCTGTAGCCCCAGCTACTTTGGGGGCTGAGGTCGGAGGATTGCTTGAACCCAGGAGGTTGAGGTGGCAGCGAGCTCAGATTGAGCCACTGCACAGTCAGCCAGCCTGGGTGACAAAGTGAGACCCTGTCTCAAAACATTAAAAAAAAATAACAAACTATGTCCCATTTGGCACAAATCATGTATCACTATTTGATCTTCTATAAAGCCAGTTAACAAATGGCATTGAACTGTGAAAAATTCCATGTTTCTTCTTTTTAAATTTGTGTTTATGATCTAGAAACTTGTAATTTTAATAAAATATTTCTATAATACTTCCTAATTTTTCAATGAAAGGCTTTTGACAGGGCATGGTGGCTCACACTTTTAGTCCTTACAGCACTTTGAGAGGCCAAGGAGAAAGGATTGCTTGATCCCAGGAGTTTGAGATCATCCTGAGCAACATAGTGAGATCATGTCTCTATACAAAAAAATTTTAAAATTAGCTGGGGTGTGATGGCACATGCCTGTGGTCCCAGCTACTCCATAGGCTGAGGTGGGCCTGAACAACAGAACAAGACCCTGTCTCAAAAAAACATAAAAATAAAAAATAAGTTTAAAAAAAATTAAAGGCTTTCATACAGCACATTCAGAAGAGTGGCATTATATTTTACTGTACTTAAATGAGTGTCTTAATCATTCCTTAACTATCCCTTTATACTTCTGCCAGTCTCTGGATTTAGATTGCTTCTTCCATATAACTCAAAGGCTTTTCAAGTACTTCTTTTCAGTTTTCTTTCAAGGTCAGTTCAGATTTAATATCTAACTTGCAGATGGAAAATCTGAAGCACAGGAAAGTTAGGTAATTTACCAAAACTTTAATAATCAGTGGCAGAAGTTAAATAAAAACCAAGGTCTTCCAAAGTCTTGTCTATTGCTCTATCTATCAGATGAGTAAAGGCTAATAGGAGACTGTTATGTACTTTCCAGTTGGCTGTGTTTTTAGACATATAATTTAGGTAATTTAATTTGAAAACTGTAATTATCATTTGGTGATTGAAATGACTTATTCACAGTTTCTTTTAAAAAAAAAAAAAAAAAGAAAGAGTTAGTACAAACCCAAGAGCTCACAAAATTCCCCATACTAGTCTCTCTTATAAAATGCTTGGCAGTGATGCATCTTATAGTGCAGGATATTGGAATAAGTTCATGATGGGAATGAAATTTAGCCTCAACAATCTTGCTCTGCTCATGTTTTTTAAATGTTAAAATGATATTAATTGCAGACACTTCTTTCTGCTCAAAGCAACTGGCTATTGATCCTTTAAACAGAATGTTTAAGGAATGGTGTGAACTATACTTAATTTGCTAACATATTTAGTCTCAGATATCAGAGAGTCTTTGTAATCCAGAGTGACATTGTGCCGACTCTGATTTTAAAGCCAAAATGAGAGCTATTATAACAAAATTGTTAGCCCAGGGAAATGTTACTGGCAAAGGACATCTCACTGTCCCTTAGATTATCACCTAGAAGAGATCCCTCATCTGCCTGTGATTATGACCAGCCTCTTCTGCAGTTATGCTTTTTTGGAGGAAGCATGGATCTTGCAGTCTAATATGTTTGACCCAAGAAACCAGTTACTTTTAGCTGTTCTTAGAGTGAGGCTGTTTAAGAAAAGAGATGTCTATTGTGGACAGCCTGATAGTGCCAGAAGTTTTCATCTCAAGCTGAAAGTTCTTTACCACACCTACTTGATTGAAACAGGGCAAGATGAAATCAGCTGTGATACTTGGGGGATGCTGGGAGCTACCTCTTTTACTTTAAGTTTCCCTCCTCAACCCCGTATTCGGGATCTGAGTTTGTACTTCTATGTTATGGAGATAGAGAGGCATGTTCACAGTGCTGCAGCTCCTGTTGTGGCCTAGGTCTCAGATCCAAGTCCACTTGCTCTCTATGCTGTCTTGCCCCAATATGAGAACAAGGCTTTCTTCTTCCCATTTAGCCCCATTGGCACATAGAAATCACGTAGGAGAAATATAAGTCTTAGAAGAATCCATTTAAGGGCTTAGGCTTTTGTACCTGTTTGAGTTGAGGTTCTATTCAGCTAAATTTCTAGATGGTTGTTGACCCCATCTCCGTTCCTTCTTAGGGCTTTTTGAGAGCTTCCCATTTTTTTCGCTGATCTTTAGTAACCTTTAGTGATGAATATTCTGTTACAAATTATAAATGTAATATTCTGTTACATTTTTGAAAAGAGTAATGCTGTGGGTACTATGAACTGTTTGCTTTTAGTTGGTATGGAGGAAGTAAACTGTCCCATAACAGATATGTGCAAAGCTTACAATAAGCTTCCATCAAGGCACAGTTCTCTTTTAAATGAAAATACCACTACCACCAAACCTGAAATATCCAAAGAGTCTCCTTAATTAAATTGCCTAATTTAGGATGTACCTAATAGAAAAAGGGATAAGGGATGATGGCATATATGTAAAGTGCAGAAGAGAATCTGTTCTTTCTTATGACCTGGCAATGATCTCAATAATTTGGCATTGTCTAGTATGTATTACAATGAGAATTTACTTTCAAAAGTGTAATTGAAATTATTTCTTTTATTCTCAGATTTTTGCACTGACTGGCCAGCCGCACTTGACAGTGATGAGAAATGTGAGAAGCATTTTCCAATTGAAATTGACACCAGTGATTATGTTTCATCAGGACTATCTGTTCGGAACCCCAAAGCACGAGTAGTAGTCTTAAGAGTAAGAGTTTTTTTTTGTTTTTTGTTTTGTTTTAAATAAGAATCATTCTAATATATTATTTAAAGATATCTTTGGTGGCTGGGCACAGTGGCTCACGCCTGTAATCCCAACACTTTGGGAGGCCACAGTAGGAGAATTGCTTGAGCCCAGGAATTTGGCACCAGCCTAGGCAACATAGCAAGAACCCATCTCTAAAAATAAAAGAAGAAAAAGAAAAAAAAAAAGTACTTGATGTGTGTGATTATAAAACTGTAATATTTATCACAGAAATTTTGGACAATACAAGTTTTCTTGTTAAGTTATAGGCCAGGCACAGTGGCTCATGCCTGTAATCCCAGAACTTTGGGAGGCTGAGCTGGGTAGATCACTTGAGGTCAGGAGTTCGAGATCAGCCTGGCCAACATGGTAAAACCACATCTCTACTAAAAATACAAAAAATTAGCTGGGCGTGGTGACACATGCCAGTAATCCCAGCTGTTTAGGAGGCTGAGGTAGGAGAATCACTTGAACCCAGGAACCAGAAGTTGCAGTGAGCTGAGATTGGGCCACTGCACTCCAGCCTGGGTGACAGAGCGAGACTCCCTCTCGAAAACAAAAATTATAAAATTGCCCATAAATCTACCATTTATAACCACTGTTAACTATAGTAGCTCATTTTAGTATATATTCACAGCCTGCTTTTGTGTATGTTAATGGGATTATACTGTGTGTTCATCAGTCTGTTCTTTCTTACTGAACAATAAGCGTTAACTAAACATTTCCCAATAATAGTAAATATTATTTAATTCAATTTTAGTTTGAATTTTTTTGAGATAGGGTCTCATAGCTGGAGACTAGGGGCATTAACATAGTTCAATGTGGCCTCCAATTCCTGGGCTCAATTAATTGTCCTGCCTCATCCTCCAAAGTGGCTGGGACTACAGGTGTGAGACACCATGCCCAGCCAATTTCCTAAAATTTTTGTAGATACAGGGTCTCATTTTGTTGCCCAGGCTGTTCTTAAACTCCTGGGCTCTAGCGATCTTCCCGCTTCGGCCTCCCAAAGCACTGGAATTACAGGTTTGAGCCACTGCACCCAACTTAATTTAATTTTAATGGCTACATAGAATAATGTATAAATGAGAGACTGTTACGTACCAAGACAGTGTTCAAGTCTGGGAGTGTAATGTTGATCACTTCAAACTTAGCCTTTTTTCTGAGACTGAAGTGTGATATATAAATAAATAATTTCATAATATAGATCTACTAGAATTTTTTTTATTTTTTGAGACGGAGTTTCATTCCTGTTGCCCAGGCTGGAGTGCAGTAGCACCATCTCAGCTCACCACAACTTCCACCTCCTGGGTTCAAGCGATTCTCCTGCCTCAGCCTCCTGAGTAGCTGGGATTACAGTTATGTACCACCATGCTTGACTAATTTTTGTATATTTAGTAGAGATAGGGTTTCTCCATGTTGGTCAGGCTGGTCTCAAACTCCTGACCTCAGGTAATCCGCCCATATCAGCCTCCCAAAATCATAATTTATTTAAGTTACCTGTGTTATGGAACCTTTAGCCTTTTTAGTGGTTTTCTTTGCTAGAAAAATGTTTTAATGAATATCCTTAGGTATTAATATTTGTATGTATTTCTAATGATGTTCCTAAGATAACTTCCTGAAAGGAGAACTGTGAGGCCAAAGGATATAGATCTTGAAGTTTGTTGATATATATTGTAAAATTCCTGCAAGAAATGTAAAAAAAATGTAACAACACCAGCAGATTGTGAGAAGGCTTGCTTTTCTGTGCTGTCACCAACCTACGTATTACCTATCAACTTGATAGATAAAAAATGTGTCTTATTTAAAATTTGTATGTCTTTAAATACTAGTGAGGTTGAGGGTTTATTCTTTTGCCAAATACTTATTTTTGTCATTTGCCCATTTTGATGGTGTATTGATTTCTTGGATACTTTTTTTTTTTTTTTTGAGACGGAGTTTCGCTCTTCTTACCCAGGCTGGAGTGCAATGGCGCGATCTCGGCTCACCGCAACCTCCACCTCCTGGGTTCAGGCAATTCTCTGCCTCAGCCTCCTGAGTAGCTGGGATTACAGGCACGCACCGCCATGCCCAGCTAATTTTTTGTATTTTGAGTAGAGACGGGGTTTCACCATGTTGACCAGGATGGTCTTGATCTCTCGACCTCGTGATCCACCCGCCTCGGCCTCCCAAAGTGCTGGGATTACAGGCTTGAGCCACCGCGCCCGGCCTCTTGGATACTTTTTTTTGGGGGGGACAGGGTCTCACTCTGTCGCCCAGGCTAGGGTGCAGTGGCTCGATCTCGGCTCACTGCAACCTCTGCCTTCTGGGTTCAAGTGATCCTCCCATCTCAGCCTCCTGAGCAGTAGCTGGGGCTGCACGTGTGTGCCACCATGCCTGGCTACTTTTTTGTATTTTTGTAGAGAAAGGGTTTTGCCATGGTGCCCAGGCTGGTCTCAAATTCCTGGACTCAGGCAGTCTCCCTGCATTGGCCTCCTAAAGTGCTGAGATTACAAATGTGAGCCACCACTAGGCCATTGTTTCTTTTTAATAATGGCTTTATTGAGACATAGTTCACTTGCTATAGAATTCACCCCTCAACCATCCTCAAGCCCCTTTCACCCACTAGTCTTACATTCTATCTCTGTAGATTTTCCTGTTCTTCACATGTTATAGAAATGGAACCATGCAGTATGTTTTCTTTCACTTAGTGTAATGTTTTCAGTAGGTTTCACTTGTAGCATGTATTATTTTATCTCTTTTTATTGCCTATAATTTGTGAATATACACATTTTATTTACCCATTCATCAGTTGGTGGACATTTGGGTTGTATCTACTTTTTGGCTATTATGAATAATGCTGTTGAACATCCATGAACAGGGATTTGTGTAGACATGTTTTTCAGTTCTCTTGCATGTATACCTAGCACTGGAATGACTGAGTTGCATGGCACCTCCATATTTAACATTTCGAGGAACTGTCAAACTGGTTTTCAAAGTGGCTACACTATCTTACAATTTCATCAGCAAGTTTGAGGCTATTTCTCCACATCCTCACTAATGGTTGTTATTACCTGTCTTTTATTTAGCCATTCTGATGTCATGAAAGTATCTCATTGTAGTTTTGATTTATGTATCCCTGATAACCACCTTTTCATGTGCTTATTGACTATTTGTATATGTTTGGAGAAATGTCTGTTCAAATCCTTGGCCCATTTTTTAATTGGGTTGTTTATCTTTTGATTGTGGAGTTGTAAGTGTATTTTATGTATTCTGGATACCAGCCCCTTCTCAGATATATGATTTGCCAACATTTTCTTCCATTCTTTGGGTTGTTCTCTTACTTTCTAGATGGTGTCCTTTTTTCAGCACCAAAGTTTTAATTTTGATGAAGTCCAATTTATGTAAGTCATGTGCTGCATAATGATGTTTTGGTCAGTGATAAACACATATACCGCAGTGGTCCTAAGAGATTATAATACTGTATATTCACTGTACTTTTTCTATGTTTGGATATGCTTAAATACACAAATATAATTGTGTTACAATTGCTTACAGTATTTACTTCAGTAACATGCTACACATGTTTGTACTCTAGGAGCAGTTGACTATACCATGTAGTCTAGGTGTGTAATAGCCTGTACCATCTAGGATTGTGTAAGTACACCCTGATGTTTGTACGTGACAAAATCATCTAGCTATGTGTTTGTCAAAAATCATTGTTAGGCCGGGCGCGGTGGCTCAAGCCTGTAATCCCAGCACTTTGGGAGGCCGAGGTGGGTAGATCACAAGGTCGAGAGATCGAGACCAACCTGGTCAACATGGTGAAACCCCGTCTCTACTAAAAATACAAAAAAATTAGCTGGGCATGGTGGTGCGTGCCTATAATCCCAGCTACTGAGGAAGCTGAGGCAGGAGAATTGCCTGAACCCAGGAGGTGGAGGTTGCGGTGAGCTGAGATCGCGCCATTGCACTCCAGCCTGGGTAACAAGAGCGAAACTCCGTCTCAAAAATAAAAAAAAAATCATTGTTAAGCTGCGTATAACTGTATTTTTTCTTTTGTCTCTTGTGCTTTTGGTGTCACATGTGAGAAATTATAGTCTTACTCAAAGTCATAAAGATTCACTCTTGTTTTTTCTCCTAAGAGTTTTATAGTTTTAGCTCTTACATTTAGGTCTATGACCTATTGTTTGTTAATTATCATAGAGTTGTTTCTCAGAATCTGTTTGGGATTGGTTCCAGGATGGCTTGCAGATACTTAGATGTGTGAATGCTCAAGTTCCTGATATAAAATGGCATAGTATTTGAACATTGAATATGACCTAGTACATTCTCCCATATACTTTAAGTCATTTCCAGATTATTTATAATGGCTAATACAATGCAAATGGTATATAAATAGTTGTTACACTGTATTTTAAAAATATGCATTATTTTTATTGCTGTATTCTTATTTTTTCTGAATATTTTCAATCTACAGTTGGTTGAATCCACAGATGTGAAACCTGTGGAGACAAAACTGGATAGGGAGTGAAGCCAGGGTCCAGCTTCATTCTTTTGCATTCCTTTTGCATGTTGATCCAGTACTGTTTGTTGAAAAGACTATATTCTTTCTCCATTGAATGGTCTTGGCACCCTTGTCAAGAATCGTATGGTTATCTTTTAACTTTTGACTTGGCTGCTTTACCAAATTCCCTTTTTAAAATTTTTTATTATGAAAATTTTCAAATGTATGGAGAAGTAGAAAGAGGCTAGTATAATAAACACCCAACTCACATGGTATCTTGATTTAGTAATTAATATTTTGACAGATTTGCTTCATACACACATATATACATCTAAGTACCTTAACATTTCTGACACATAATGTTCCACACTAAAATACTTCAGTGTGTTATCTTTAAGAATTAAGGAGATGTTTAATTCCAATACTATTAACACATGTAACAAAACTGTCAATAATTCTCAAATATCATCTAAAATATCTA